CATCATCATCATCATCATCATCATCATCATCATCATCATCATCATCATCGTTTCCGATACTTACGCCGACAGTGTGAACTGTTGCGTCTTTCTATCAAACCCATGTCCAAACCCATGTAGCAAACAAAATTGCCAGCCAACAAAGTGGATTAGCGTTATCAAGAACTTTTACAAATGGGCTTCATTTGTTAACAAAAAAAAAAAAAATCATACAACTTAATGATATTATGTAAGAAATTGTCATATCAAGTCAAGAACCGATCGTTGTGTCCAATTCGAACATTTGTTTTTCTTCTATTGACAAATAAACCCAGGCAAGTGGGGAGGGTCTTATCCATGACAATGATTTCGTCAAGAAAATAGTTCTCTTTCCTCATATGGCTAACAGTACGTCGGGCTTTTTGGGTTTTGTGGATTTTGAATTCGTAAGACGAATACGATAGCCAGCAAATGATTTGCAGCGAAAGGCTATTCACTTCTAAAATTTTTACATCTTACGTAAAGGGAAACATAATGAAATGTATACCATATCCAGTTTATTAGAAGACATTTCATTCTTCGCCCATTCACGCTGAACTTGTTAAATAAAATTCCATTCTTTATAATTAAATTTCGATTTTCACATTTGACTCATACGAACACTTTTGGTTATCTAATGAAATCAAATCGTAATTATGCAATAGATAGTGTTTTGCAAATTTCTTCTTATAAGACCATTCCATCACGTTACTTAACGTTATCTGATTTCGGTATATTCGTGTCAACTCAATTATGACGCATTGTCAATCTGAGGAAATTTAATTACCGTACATATCACTATTGGAAAACTAATGCTATTAAAGGGTAAGCTTCCATTATAAGGACAAACAATATTCACTAAGTTCAGTGCCGTCTTAGACGTAGAAATCGCGATTGGCTATGGCCTAAGAAAACAAGTTAATTTCCATAATATGTTCTTCGAAAAAAACTATAGTCGAAAATAAAGGCATTTTTCAAAAGATTTTCTCACAGATTTTCTTATGATAACACTCAGCGATTGCTTGCCGAAATCAAACTTCTCGACTAATATACACAAATATACACGAAATCTTTCATAGTAAGAGAGAGCAAGTGAAATAGTTTAGAAGAACCCGTTTTTACTAACTTACTCCATCCAAATATATCGATTATTTAATACATACAGACGAACAAACCTACATTAAATAACATTAATTCAAAATTTGATGTTAATTAAGAATATCGGTGCACTTTATGGGATCTCTGAAGTTTCCTTCTGAGCGTTACAAATCTTTTTAGCAAGATGAATATGCGCCTCATCGTTCGGTGATGGGTATGCAGCAAAAATAATTTTATTAGGTGCTCGCATGAATTTTGATCATTGTTTCATGATGAGTTTGAAATATGACTTTACATCATTTTCTACTACTGTCCGGCAACATGGCGATAACGTGTTGAAAGAGACAGATTGGTTTAGAAGAGATCCGATCATCGACCCAATAAAACCGCGTGAAGCTGTTTTTGATCTTCTGAATTCCATTATTTGTTTATTTGAAGCAATCTGTTGTTGAAGCCCACTAGACATTTTCGGAGGCTTGTGATGATGCTGCTTCATCATATCCCAATTTTGAGATTTCGGATTTAATCGTTTAAAAGTGGCGACACGAATTGCCTGAAAATGCCATTTTTTGGCCACTTTTTGCAAGAGTTATTCACGATACATTGTTGCTGCTCGAAAGGGAAGTTTTGGCACGCCCGGCTTGCACACCAGACATTGCGCCTCCTGATTACTACTTATTCAGATCGGTGTAGCATTGCATGGCTAGCACGCAAATTTGAAAAAGTGCGAAAATGGTTCGGTAGTTGGATTGCTGCCAAACAAACACAAGCTCTTTCGACATGATATCATCATGTTGCCAAAAATATTGTAAAATGTTGTAGAAAATGATGGAAACGATTATGATATATATATATATATATATATATAGTGTATCAATGCCCCGCGGAAAATGCTTTTTCAAAATGAAAAAGTGATCAAAACTTTTGCAAATACCTAATACATTCTACAGGGACGTCCATAACACTAGTCCCTCCAAATGTAGTTGCAAGGTTCTTTCTATAGCTACAGATTGAAGCAATAGATTTCTTAATGTTCCGGTCCGTATATGGCAATTGTATGACCGAAGCCAAATTTTGGAAATATTCTGATTTTGTTTTTTTGTTTTTTTTTTTTTTTTTCTTGACTTTAGTGTGATATAGTGTTGGAACAACTTTAGAATTACTATGGAAATAGGTGTTAGGTAGAATAAAAAAATTTCACTATTACATTCACACATAATTTTGGCCGTAGATGTGTAAAAGTGTAAGATGTTTATATATTTTCATTTCAGATTCGCTAGCATTATGTTGTGATGCGGATCAGATCTCTATCATGCATCAGGGTATGTCTCAAATTGATGGGATTTATTCGCGTTGTCCTACATGCAGTTTAAATATGGCTTTAATCTTTTGTTTGATGAATTGTGCACAAAATCAAAGTTTATTTTTAACACCTTATCTCGGTAATCATAGTACCGAAGGCAGTTATGTGAAAAGCATTGATTATCGTATCGAAGACAAGGCCGCTGAAAAAATTTACAATAGCTGTAAAGGTATTCAGCATTCACAGACGGGCCGACCAGCTATGGATTTAGCTTGCGGTTCATTCAATGCGCGCACCTGCAATCACCGTAAATGGTTTAATTTTATGGGCGACACAACAATTAATAATTATGTTCCATTTCCCATTAATTATTCATTTTTCAATGAATCCTTCGATGACCAATACCTTTCACTATATCCGCTTGATTGCTCACAAGGTTACCAAAAATCTTATGCCTGCGCCTGTATTGATTGTCCTCACTCTTGTCCAATAGCCGATGCACCCATATCGCATATAGATATATTCACTTTTACTGGCCTATATGGTATTCTCGCTCTTATCCTGATTCCCCTAATTGCGAATTTATGTTCCAAAGTTAAAATTCGAGCAAATTTTGCAGGCTTTAGTCGATTGAACGATGTATTCTACAATGGATTCAAGTTTTGGGGCACTTTTTGTGCTCAACATCCAACCCTGATTTTAGCCATATGTTCATGGATAGTTGCAGGACTATGTTATGGTCTGCATTATATGAGTATAATCACAGATCCCGTTGAAATGTGGGCCGGTCCTAACAGTCAAAGTCGCCTAGATAAGGATTATTTTGATTCATATTTTGGACGCTTCTATCGAACAAATCAAATATTTATTAAACCAAAAAACGACGCCACCGTAAGCATGAAGCATACATTTGTTCGCATATAGAAACTAAATAAATTGTTTTTTAATATCTCAGTTCAATCACACTACATCGAAGGGCAACGTAACATTTGGACCTGCTTTTGAAAAAAAATTTCTTACAGAAGCTTTTAAACTACAGGAAGCTATCGAATCATTGGGTATGGACAAGGAAGTCGGTCTAGATAAAGTTTGTTACGCACCACTTATGCATCCAGAAGAGAAAGCTACTTTAAAGGATTGCGCCACTCAATCGCTATACGGATATTTTCAAAATAATATGAGTTTATTCGAACAGGAATATCACGACGCCGATGGAAACGTTATCAACTATCTAAATCATTTAGAGGAGTGCTTGAGGTAAGTAAGACATTGAAAGACATTGTCTATATATGCTCATTATAATCAAAAACGCATAAATATATATATATATATATGAAGGGTTCCAATGCTAGAAAATTGTTTTGGTCCATATGGTGGCCCCATTGAGCCGGCTATTGCAGTTGGTGGTATGCCTATGCTAAACAAAAATAACGCAGAAGAACCAAATTATTTGCTTGCTAACGGTCTAGTGTTTACATTTCTTGGTAAAAATCCTAGTAATGGGGACTTACTAGAGCTTAACATGGAATGGGAAAAGCTATTTATACGTTTTATGAAAAATCATACAAGCGACTTAATTGATGTGGCGTTTTCAGCGGAACGTTCAATACAAGATGCAATTGAAGAATTATCGAATGGAGAAAAGCTTACAATAGTTATTAGCTATATGATGATGCTCTTATATGTAACTATCGCCTTAAGTCGGCTGCATACCAAATTCAAAGATTGTCTACTTGAATCGAAAGTAATGTTGGCCACGGGTGGCATTTGCATTGTACTAGCATCTGTGGTTTGTAGCCTTGGCTTTTGGAGTTATATGAAAATACCTACGACAATGCTGGCCATGGAGGTTATTCCGTTCTTAGTCTTGGCAATTGGCGTTGATAACATTTTTATTATAGTTCACACCTATAATCGTTTAGATCGTCAAAAACACAATAGTTCACATGGAGCGATTGGTGAAACCATGGGTCAAGTGGGACCATCAATATTACAAACAACAGTGTCAGAATGCGCTTGTTTTGGCATCGGCTCGTTATCGGATATGCCGGCAGTGAAAACGTTTGCTATGTACGCTGCCGTTGCCGTACTCGTCGATTTCCTTTTGCAAATCAGCGCATTCCTGGCTATTATGACATTAAACGAACGTCGCCAAGAATCGGGACGTCTTGATCTATTATGTTGTTTCACCGTAGATACTAAATCGAATATGACAACTAGTAACGCGAATGGGTTGCTGGAGAGATTTTTCTCAAAATTTTATTCGCCATTTCTATTATCCAAGTGAGTAGATAAAAAATTATATTCGAATGTTACCGTAAATTTCAATTGCGAACATAATATTATAGAAACGTTAAATTGGTCGTGCTGTTAGCGTTCTTCGTCATTACATGTGTTTCGTTAGCGTTGGCACCGAATCTTGAAATCGGATTAGAGCAGGAGATGTCAATGCCGCAGAGCTCACATTTAGTGAAATATTTTAATTATATGCGTGACTTGCTGTCAATGGGTGCTCCAGTATATTGGGTACTAAGACAAGGACTTGATTACGCAAACCGAAGTCAACAGAATTTAATTTGCAGCGGTGTCAGATGTAATAACAATTCACTGTCGATGCAACTATATGTTCAATCGCGCTATCCTGAAATGTAAGTGTGGACGCAAGCATGAAATATGTTAAAGAAGAGAACAGTTGTAACTGTTAATATTAAAACTTTTTGCATAGAACTCATTTGAGCCGACCTGCCTCATCTTGGCTCGATGACTACATTGACTGGTTGAGCGTAGACGAATGCTGTAAAATAAATATAACAAATCAGAGTTTTTGCCCAAGCAGTAAATTTCCCAATAATGATTATTAAATATATATATATAGCAAGTATATATATGCCATTACAGATTCAAGAGATGAAAATTGCATTCCGTGTCCAAGGCAATTTGAAGAGGATAGATTGCGACCTACATCGGGCACATTCAGAAAATATGTTTCGTATTTTTTAACTGATTTACCCAATGCACAATGCGCTAAGGCGGGTGGAGCTTCTTACGCTGACGTAAGTCTTTGATGGAAATGCATATATATGAATTAATGTTAATGTTTTTTTTTTCAACATAGGCCGTTATTTATACTTTGGATGAAAAGGGAGATAGTACAGTTCTCGATACATACTTTATGGAATATTCAACTGTTGCCACAACGTCTAGAGAGTTTTATTCAACCGTACGAGAAACTCGTCGAATAGCCAATGATATCAATCAGATGTTGCTTGAGAATGGTGTAAATGCCACGATTTTTCCTTATTGCATATTTTTCATTTATTATGAACAGTATTTAACGATATGGCAAGATGCATTATTTTCATTAGCAATGTCTTTATTGGCAATATTCGTAGTGACTTTGTTTATCACTGCGTTCGATTTGATATCGGCTCTCTTAGTCACCGGAATGGTTTTACTCATATTGATTAACATGTGTGGTATGATGTGGATTTGGAATATTGCATTAAATGCCATTTCGTTAGTTAATTTAGTTGTCTGTATGGGTATAGGTGTTGAATTTGTCTCACATATTATAAGAGCGTATAAAAATGCTGATGGCAGCAATCAAGAACGAGCTCAACATTCTTTAGCCTCTATGGGTAGTAGTGTATTCTCTGGGATCACATTAACAAAATTCGCTGGAATTTTAGTCTTGGCTTTTTCGAATTCAAAAGTTTTTCAAATTTTCTATTTTCGTATGTATCTGGGTATTGTCTTAATTGGAGCTGCGCACGGCCTAATTCTATTACCGGTTATCTTAAGCTTTTACGGACCTAGACGTTCTTAATTAATCTAAAAAATCTAAATATAGATAAATACGCATCTCCTTAACAACATATGTGTCTCAAGTGATTATAAAAGGGTTAGCAGAGTTGCAAATTCGAATAATGTGGATCTCTGGCTATTCATTATTTTGCTACAATCCGTATCATTTAGAAGACGGAACATGTCATTGAATAAACTCAATTTTATTTATTTAATAATATTTAAAATACATATATAGGTAAATATTCGAAAATGTATGTGTGTATTATTTGGCGATATTAAAGGGCTAAAGCGCCATTTTGACAGTCCAAAATAAAGTCCAATTATTTAATAAATTTTTTTGGTATGGAAGATATGGAAGCATACCATTAAGTATCAAAAAAATGTACGAAATACTTTTGCAAAATTTCTACATACACACACACACAACTTCTGCAAAAAACTTTTCTTTCGAAAAGCAAGGAAAATTGCTCTCAATTTATCTAGCACTGTAGGCGTATCCTTCAATCGATTTAGCCCATTTTCAATACCAACCGTCGTGCAAGAGCATCGAATCTTGAAATCTATTGTTAAATTTTCGCGGCCAGGAGAATGTTTATAACAGGAAATGCTTAAACCGATTCTAAATTTGATGCTGATCAAGAAAAAATATACTTTTTGGGGTCGCTTCAGAGAACTTCCTTCTAGGCGTTGCAAATATTTGGACTAAATGTGCATACCCCTCGTCCTTCGGTGATGCGTATAAAAATAAATATTTAATGTAAATGTTAATAGCTGGGCAAATACGATTTTTTAAGTGATTGAAAAATATTTTAATAAAAATGTTCAATTTTTACCACACTAGGTATTCTTTATACCCAACATCACCTGTGATACAATGTACATCATGTGCAAGCATGTGCGTACGGTTGCAACACGCAATAAATTTTAAAGATTTACTTTTATTATACCGATCGTTTCACAATCACTTTCTGAATCGATCTAAGCTTGTCTGTCTGTCTGTCCACTTTGTCTTTTTGTGTTCATCCTACATATTGCAATTTGCGAGATATTTCGATGAAATATGATAAATCAATATGCTTAAGCAAAATCAAATGTAGGGCGTTTAGTAGTGCGCCGCGTACCACTATACTGTTTTCACTTAGTCTTTAATAAATAATGTCTAAATTTTACTTAAATAAAAATTTCCTACGTGCTTCTCGTCTTCAGGATGTTATTCTAAATGTGTTGTAAAAAATTCGGATGAGAGGAATGAAAATTATTCGAATAATTTGTCGATTTGAAAAATCGTATTTAAAATGGACGATGGTATGTTATAGAGAGTTCCTAACATACTTTTACTCTTCATTTTCCCATAATCTCTTTTATTCTCTTCTTTCGACGATTTCTTCGCAAAAGAGCATCTTTCGCTGCATCTGTCGAAGACAGAATTACACGTTTTGCATATTACTTGTGGCGAAATGACAGCCGTTAAAGGGCAAGAAAATTAGTGGTTCCATAATCGTAAGACTTCATTCTTGGGAGAAGCTTTTGAAAGCATCCTAACTGCTCTCAATCTCATATCTATTCAACGGTCGTATCAATGAAGCTACACTAGTGAAATGCATTCACATCATATGTTTGTTGAAATAAACTTCCGTGAAAACTGCTTAATTTTGTTGAATGCGAAATTTCTTAAAATGTTGAAAGTAAATAAATAAAGATTTGCGGTATTTTACCTGACGGAGTCATAAAAAGACGACGTCTTATATGGCTCGTGCTTGACGAAAAGATTAACAACAATTCTCGGGAAAAGTAACAGATAAAAGGATTAACAAGAATATCAGAATAATATATGATGAAGGTGAAGGACGGCTTAAAAAAGGTAACGGAAACAGAACATTAATCTAAGGTAAACACACAGTAAAATCGTTGCAGTTGAAAAGAGAACTTGAAGAGAAGTATTGAGGGGTTTTTAAATATATCTTGCAAATAAAATCCACGATATCCTAACATTCACAATCCAGGACTACGAATCTAGTCCTAACAAGAACGACCATTCAATTCCCTACAACACTTCGCCTAGTACGGTTATTCGCGATGTATATTTATGCAAAGATATACTTTTCATGGAAGCCCGCACGTTGGACGATACCCACTCTGTCTGATATCTGTCCCTGTGTGCTTGTGTTCGAGCAGCAATTTTTGAGGTGTTTTGATGAAATTTAGTTCGCTGACGCAAATTTGATCCAAAGACGAACGCTATTGAAAACGATTCGGATTGGTCTGCTTTTTCGGCGACTCCCCATATAACGCCTTATTTTAAAAAGACGCTGAGTAATAGTATTTCGGTATTCTAAGTTGATGTGAAAATTTTGGATCGGCTACGTTAATTGTTTGGATTCGCTCTCATATAACCGTTCATACAAAAACTGAATCTTTATATGGTAGAAAGGTCTAATTTTCAATATTTCATGGTGAAATTAGTTTACAGAAAGTAAATTGACAAAGGAAACAACCTTATCAAGTTTCGGATACTACCGCATATAAGGATTCTCAGGATAATTGGTAATGCTTTACGACGAAAATTTAGTCATGGTAGTAGTTTGACATGAAAATTAAGTGAAGCAAACCCTTTATAAGATTTTTCATGAATAGTAAGCCCTTCAGGTGAAGGTTTAGTATTTAATATCTTAGCAAAAGAGTTAACGGCACGGAATTTGAATTGCATAGGTCAGTTTTTTCGACCCTAACACATATATATGAGGTGACCATGAAAAGCAAGCCCTTATATGGAAAGAAAGTTCACTTTCGAGGTTTTTTGTGACGAAAATGAAAAAATAATAAAAAAAAAAAAAAAAAACATTTGTATGAAGTAAATGAAGTTTGCTAAATTCGGATTACGTTATGCGATGTTTTCGGCACCTCCGGGCTTTCATGAAAAGTATGCCTTTGCATGTAAATAATGCGTAATTTTTGATGTATTATTACCGAAATTATTGAGTAACCTTATTAGGCGAATTGGTGTAGGGTATCTGTTTGTCAATCTTAACCGACTATAATGTTCTTGCTTATTTTGAATTGCATCAAAAAATACAAACTGCCCCTCTTCAGCTTAAAGCTGGACAAAAGTCAAGTGTTGTCAACCAAGAAGGGGTTTGAAAATGATTACAATAATACGTCTGGTCGCAAAGAAGGTACAAATAAAACTAAAATGTCTGAGAGTGAAGAAATGTTATCCCGTTCTGATAAGGAAAAAAACATTAATTTCACAAACATACTGATACACTACAGTCCCAAATACAGCGTTTTTTGACCAAAAATCAATTCTTTACATTTTCATTTACTGCGAACTGATAACCCACACGCCTAAAAACCAAAGCAATTCTTTTATTGTTGTAGTATATAATTTACCGTTATACGACAAATCGTATAGATTAAAATAGTTTGATGCGACTAGCAAAAGGCGCACATTATCTATATAATTATACCAAAGAAACATAAGTTGAATGCTATAAAACATACACCTATCGTTCCAGAAGCCTTTTTATTGACGATTAAAGGCATCGATATCAAAATCAATCGAAATATTGTTTTCTATAAAATTAGTCAAATAATCGGAAATAATGTCATCTTCTTTTAGATATATATATATATATTTTTTCTCAATTCTGCCCAAAGTAAAACATTCTCTTTTGAAATGTATTTTTTGCTATTCCTATCAAATTGTCTTTTCTTTTGCGCACTCTTTTTGGTTAATCTTTTCCGATGGAATGGATGGTGTGAGCCTTTTTCTAAAAACAAAAAAAAACAAAAAAAAAAGAAACCGTTTTAAACAGGTTCATTGCAACTCTGCTTCTGACCTTGCCTTGATCAAGGCTTTTAAGCTAAATCTTAACACAATTATTGTTTCGTGTTACTGCCTTCGAACATCGGCATTCAAATCTTTCACAAAACAAACCTGAGAACAAAATGTTATCCTGCCGGCTGATTTCAATTCTACGGATTATTTCTATGAAAATTTTAATTTCGTCCAACAGAGAAATGTGAATTGAATATCTAAACAATTCCAATGCAACCGCAGGGGTTTTTGGCGTTGCCTTCACTATCTAAACAATTGTATCTTTTCGATGGAAAATTTTAAATACCCCTCTAGACAAAACTCATCATAGTCGAACTGTTTTTAAAACAAGTCCTGGACTCCCTACAAAAGTTTAAAATTTTCAACTCTTACAAATCTTTGTGGAACAGTTTGTCCAGTTTGTTAAAGTAGATTCAGGTAGAATGTCAATAAAAAGAACCCTTTAGTGCGAAATATTAGTTATTAGAAATAATTTCAAGCGTGTCAATGCACACATACCAAAACCATATTGAAACGGCATTTTATCCTACCCGCAAAAAATTATAATGAGTTTAGGAAAACTCAGAGCGGAGATAAATCTCTCTCTGCTTAGGAAAATTAAAGGAAATAGGGAGCTCGCGTCATTGCTACGATTTATACCAGTCGAAATTCACGACCCGTTTAGTTCATCAATGCATAACGATAATCTCACTATAAAACCGTCAGTTTGCGTACCATAATATCAAATTGCTTCTTTGATAGAAATCTGTGGCGGCTCGCCAAATATGTATCAACTCTTAAGGTAGGCAAAGATTTAAACTTTTTGACCAAATTTAGATCTGTAAGCTTATATAGTGTCCTCACAAAGTCAAAGTTGATTTCATGGGTGCGGAGAGGATCCACCACTTAGTTTGCGAAAACATTATTCCGGTCCGCTCCTTTACTTATCAACAATACAGTTCAACCAACATGCTATGAATCGATTATATATTTGCTAACAATGGCTGAGAAAAACGAAGTGAGAAAGTTGTTGTTATGCTCTCTTGTAGGTATACTAAAGCTACTTGTCCTAGTCATGGGCAGTGCTACTCCTGCAATGAAGGGGATTTCTTTCCGGGTAGCTCCTTACCCGTACACAGTCAGGTTACACGCAGTTGAAGATGGTAGAACACATATTTGGCAACAAGCTAATGATTCCTTAACTGTTTCAATTGTAGCACGATTTGATAAAATTGTTGAGAACCTGTCTGCTAAAACCAATCTCTTTCATAATTCTTATGCGACTTTCAACCTAACTTTATGTAAAGTAGCGCTTTCTGCTACCCTGAAGAATTAAAAAGAGCCAAAGCAGAGCGAAGAGCATTTCAATTTATGTACAGAATCATATACGACTGGAAAACTTTACAACAACGCTGTGGAAGAGCTTTTAATTGCTGTCAATCCGGAAGCTTTTCACAATTAATCGAGCAGATCTGTCCCCTAAAAAGCCCTAACCACTTATAATCCTCTCAATAATCTCTCATAGTGCGCCCAAAAGTGGAGTTTATTCTTCCTATAACCTTCTCAAACATATTCAGGAAAAATGCAGACATTTCAAAATAGGTTATTAAGACTGGGCTCACTCCTTCAATTGCAATTCTTACTCTGAGAGCCATTTCTGATCAAATCCACTTTTCGGGAAGAGCACTTCTTCTAACGGCCAGGGCATGGGTTACCATTAAACGCACAAAGCACTTGCTCTTCCACAGAGTCATTCCACTAAATAATGGATTATCGTGCAGCTATACTTATGGCTGCAGAAAGTGTAAATGCATCTTAAACGTTCTGTTGCCAGTATCTACTTCGAAAAGAAATTCCGATAAATCCTGTGTAAGATCACTTTGCCAGGAAAAATTTTATTTAGATTGTTGTCACAATAATATGTTGTTACATAATATACGTCAGTTGTTAATAGTGTTTCTGGTTCCCACGGTAGCGGAACATCGAAAATAGAAGCACTGAGGAATTATCTTCAAGCTTTATTGAACTACGCGTCACTTGGTATGTAGTAAAAATGTCCATTACAAACTGTCGGAAAACTTTTACGTCCTTGACTAAAAAAAAATTTCGTTCAAGCAATGGATCCTTTCCCCACACACCCTATAATATTCAAGTCATCTAAAAAATCTATAAAACGTATGTGGCATTGTCCAATATCAATATTATCGAATGGATCCCCATTTTTCTCATGAACTTTGAGATGATGTTGTTGTACTTATTGTAGATTCCTTGCAAAATTGTCAAGCCCACTTTTAATCGTGGCATGTGAATAAGCGCTAATTTTAGACACTTTTACAAGTGTGTGGTTCCGTCACTGTAACTTAAGCTGTGATAGCGTCGGTTGATCATTGCGAAGCGAACAATGAAATTAATAACAAAATTTCATGCCAATGATGCTCAGATGGTCAGAGGTGCAAGAAAAGATGCTTGAATGATATGAATTTTTCGATTACCTTCTATTTTCAGCGATTCGACATATCTGTCCTTAGCTTGTAGAAAAAGGTGCGGAATAACCGAAGCAACTTTTGTTGGATAAGTTCTAATCCTTGTCTAGGAAATCGATGATTGTGACCACAAAATCACTCTTAGTGAAGAGGGCAAGCCTATCGATAATACATTCACTTTATGGGACCACGTTTCATATCAGCTGCCTACTTTTGATATGAATCACGAAAACATACATGCTGATAAAAGGATTTAATGGGCGAAATCAGGAGAGGCTTGGTATTGAAGGCTTCCCTCAATTAAAAATGCTCTGTAAGAATAATTTTCTTGTGAAACTTTCAGTACATTTTTGGGAGGGTTATTTGTTGTAATCCGCCTAAGTGGCCGAAGGCGAGGAATCTCGACTAGCAACTCAATGGTCGTGGGTTCGAATTTCAAGGACGGTAGAGTTTTTTAATAAAGCCCGATAGACTTACATGCTAGTGCTTTAAGACTTTAGTCGTAGAATTTATTTCTCTAGCGATATTAATAACAACAATAATAATAATAATAATAATATTTGTTGTAGTTATTAAAAGTGAAAAGCAGCGAAAATAACGACAAAGTATCGAATTCGATTTTATTTTTGCAGCGGACGCATCTGGGTAAAGACATAAATCTTAGAAGCTATTCTAAAGCACGGAAAAACTCCAATTTCCACTTTGCCTTATCTTTATACTCTATTTGAATAGAGAAAAAATTGTTCAACTATTTTAATACAATTCACTTTAGCCAAATAAAAAGGTAACCAATTACTGTGACATCCCATGTGGTTAATACTTTTGATATTTTCTTTTTACAATGAAAAACTTTGAATATCGATGGGTTAACACATCACTTCGATCGTTATAGCAAACGGTATTTCTATTCCCCAAAGTTCTTCTCGATTTTACATATATCTGGATGCATTTAATAATATATCATACGGGGGGTGTAGAGTGTATATATATATATATATATATGTATGTATGTATATTCTAAATACATACCCCATGAAACTTTGAAAAATAGAAATGAAAATTTTTTGCGTAGAAAGTCATTTAAATCGATAATAATCGGCTTTTATAGGCATTTATTCAACATAAAATAAGTGTAATACATTTAATATAATGAAAAAATAACGGTTTAATTATTGCATATATAAAAATAGTAAGTAATTTAATCAATTTAAACTTAGCTTTTGAATTTATATAGGACTCAAATTCCGATACAGGATCACTGCCCGCCTTTGTTTAGTAACACTTTTGTCGGTATTTTCTATTTGCTCTGATAATTCTGATAATCGCTGGGTAACGATTTATTTTATCTTCGATGATGTAGAGGACATAAAATACATATGCTATTAATAAATGGTTTTTTTTTTTTTTTTTTTTTTTTTTTTTTTTTTTTTTTTTTTTTTTTAAATCGTTTCGTTGCGTATTCATTTATACCGACGATTATTCATATCTCTGAATATCGTTGATCTCTTTCAATATACAGACCATTTTGCTGGAAAGAGTTGCATAATTTTTTTTCAAACCCAATTAAAAATTAAGTATAGAAGAAACTAAATGTGAAATTATTTATTTATTTTTTATTTATTTATTTTTTTTTTTTTGAAAACTTTCTTTTTAAAAACTACAATTTACATACACATGCACACATAAAACCCATACATTTATTATATTTTTATTATATAAGATAATTATTGTAAAAGAAATCGTACTCCATTGAAAGGAGTCCTTTCGGTAATTGTTTCATTATGAAGTTTTTCACCGTGTATGGTTAGGTAACATCGACGTTTTGGAGCATTGATGTAATTCAATTGTCCGAGAATTGCACTTCTCTTAACATTACACGGCATCCAACCATATACCTGACTTTCTAATCGAGGCATGCCAGAAGGTAAAAATTTATTATATTCTAAACGTTCAAGTAACTTTAAGTAGGAAATGTATTTAATCGGTTTAAGCTGATCACGATTAATATAAAATTTACCAATAGCATTATTAGCTGAAATGAAGTGTAATTGATCAGGGCGATATTAATTGCAAAATTTTCGATAGATTTTTTTTTTTCTTACTCTTCACCGCACAGGGTATAAACGTCTCATGGATATGTATGTATTTGTTTTGTTTATTAATTAATTCCTTTTCAAAAAGATACGGTAACTGATGTCTCGATTCATATTTTTGCCCGTTACCGTTAACCTTACTTTGTTGTTGCTTAGATTTTTCATGATTATTTGCGACAAGGGGTAAACTAGCGCTCATTGCTTATAATACGCTGCTCGCACATGCACCGACTCTATATAACTAAGATTTACGACAATAATGAAAAAGTGATTTACCTGTGTTTCGTGTACTTGTCATATGCTTTCATTCATAATAATAAATACAATATATCAAATAGAGAAACTTTAACTTTAACATTGTTTAGCAATAAAGTTTTATAATCATTTTTTTATTAATAATCTAATTGTGGTTGCGTGCCATTGAACTGGTTGATATTTACAAAAATGCATTTGTCTTTTACAGTCTTTTTTTGTTTTTGTTTTTTTTTTTTTTTTTTTTTTTTTGCTTTTTCTCTTGACTAAGCTGAATGTGTACATGTTTATGTTTAGATTTGTGGATACAACCTTTTTTTTTTTTTGTTTTTTATTATTTATTATTATTATTTTTTTTTTTTTTTTCAAATAGCATGAATAAAAATCAAATATTTGTTATTGGTGGTCGGACTTCTTTGGCAAATAAAATAAAATTTTAGCGTAATTCGATCTGAAACCTGTACAATGCAAAATTAAATTTTGGCAAAAAGAAAACAAGGCGGCTATTATATCTTAGCTACGATATTCCCTATATAGAATTTGCGAATTACATTAAGGATAAAAGTCGCGATAAGCGAAGCGTTCTATAAACTTTTCTTTTGAACATGTTATCAAACCGAAATTAACATTATTATCGATGTATTGAATAAGGGATTGGCGAGTTTTACGCAATAGCTGTTCCATTTGAAATTTTTGCTTATAAGGATTCGTTTTACGCAATATCGTTTGCACAAATCGTGACCACATTGAGTTCGAATAATGGCCCTCGTCTACGCCCTCCGTAACATTTGACGCTAATTTATAATTCAAATTAAGTTCGTGTAAAGCTTCTTGGGAGCTTTTAAACTTATCATCGCGTTTTACCGACACGCGTACTTCCGCTGGATTCGTATCGGTAAAACTTTTCTCTTTTTCATCAGAAATTTTTTGCTGTTTATTGCTTTCAACTATGAGTGATTGCAGCCTTTGAAAGGTATCTATCATACGCTTTTTAAATTCAAGAAAACGTCTTACATGTGAAAATAATGACAATTGCTCCGCATGACTCATATTTTTCAGGGGTAATTCGACAATTTCACTATCGCTAAGCATAGGTTTAAAGCTATCAATTTTCTCGTTAGTGCCATTAAGAAGTAAACGAAAAAGAAACTCCTGCATAGCTGTCGTGTTGACCAACGAACGACGGTAGAGTAATGTTAATTCTTCAACCTTGTCCCGAATGCTTAAGCATGATTCGTTAGTCTCATGCCCATTTAAAACTAATAACGTTTTCTCTATCGTTTCCTTATCGTCCTCTCCTAATGTCTCCAAATTTAAATCGCGTAATAAACGATCGTTTACAGCATATTCCTGTTGGATACTATATAGTTGCCATAATGTTTTAAAAGTGCCTTCAAATTCTTTATGAACACTTGATGAGCCCAATATACGGCTTATATTTTTATCAAACATTCCGAGATTTTTAACGAGTGCAGGTTCCAAGGTATAATTTTGAAGAAACTCGTTTATATAATTTAAAATTTCAATGGGTTTGCTTAGGTTTGGCTTTCTCATAGAGAAAAATTCAAATAAATCTCTGACCGTGAGTTGTTTTAAACCATTTTTGTTAAACAATACGGAGGCATTTTTGATTTGTTCAAAATTTTTTATCAAAGCGTCTGCAGCCAAATTATTATTTTCATCATATATTACAATGTCAACTGACAAGGTCTGCTGATAATTTAAAGATTTCGTCGATTTCTGATTATTACCCTTATTAGGACAATCATATTTTGCATATTTCTTTTTATTCGTTAGCTCTTGATCCTTTTGCACAAGTGATGCTTCGCTGAATTGTTCCAAATCGAGCGACTCAAATATGTCATGTTTTAAATCATGACAGCAATACAACGCTGATAAGTCAATGGGATGTGCTTCGGTATTGAAAACATACGGTCCAGAATTTATAACACATTGCCCATGATTCGTTTCTAAAATATCTCCAGCGGCACCATTGCTATGCAAAAAATTATCCTCATCGAATAACAAGTACAAATACTTTGTAGTTTCAGCAAGAAAGAAAGATTCCATTCGATTCGCCTTCTCATGCGTTATAACATTTCGTATCTTTAAAAAATTTAAAAAAAAAAAAAAAATCATACGCGATTTTGTCGTCAATTTAATTCACAATCAATGAATGAAATAAACTTAGGATAAACCTGAAGGATTTCCCCTTATTGGAATAAGAAATTTTATTGTAAGGAGGAAGAAAAGATAAGTGATTTACTGAACAAGATTTCACGTCTTAAGAAGATTATAGTCGGCTGTGACCGAATCTTTGATACTCATCAGCAAACACAGATGGACAGACGGACTAGAACTTTATAGAATCTCGGAAGCATCGTTGTAAGTCCAGTAGGCGTGGCCAATAATTTTTAACTTTTTTACAGGTTCTGCATAGTCAGCCATAGAATGTAGACGCAAATGCTTATCATTGTATCTGGCGCGGTTTATAAGTAACGAGCAAAAAACATTTTTCTTTTTTTTGATTTTTGAAAACAGAGATAGGGTGAGGTTATGTTTCACTATATCCCTTAACATTTGATTTGGGCAATTTCAATATCAACCTACGTGCGAGAACTTTCAATGTTTTTGCCGAATTTGACGTAACTAGCTTCCTTCCTTTGCGACCAGGGAAATATTTACAATCGACATTACACTGACAGACGGTCACACGAACAAGCGGACATCCATAAATCCGTTTAGAATTTAATGCTGATCAAAAATAAGGTATACTTTATGTGACCTCTGAAGCTTCCTTTTGGGCGTTACAAACGTTTTAACAAAATGAATATACCCCAGGATGAGCACTAGCGATCAAGCTCATCACATATAATAAACTGAAGAAACTAACAAGATATTATGGATAATATACAAAATTCTGTTAGGTGTATGTGTCATTCTATACGACCACAATCTAGCTGAAAGCACTAACAGTCAAAGATTTAAAAGTTTTTCTTAAGACATACTACCTAAAACAGAACAAGGATGTGATTGACAAGAAGATATATGGGAATGCTACAAGGAAAATATTGCAAAATAAAACACATTGTTACTTGTAGGTGAAACAGTTGCATTAGGCCGCATTTTTAAAGGACTTGAGGAAATATTTGCATCAAACTACTAATGCCACTACTACTACTACTACTGTCATTACTACCTGCTGCCAGTGTAGATTACAAGCTCTAGCAAATAGTAGCCCCCAAATTTCGTTAATGCAGAATTTTTTTCAGAGGATGGCCGTAAATATATATATATATATTTATATATATATATGTATACATATGTATGGCTTTAATGACGAAATAGTCGAGTGAAAAAAAAAAACTAAATCTAAATCTACTACGTTTCATTGCATTATACTTATCGGAAACAATCCTTTCGTATTTCGAGAAAATTAACTTCTTAAATAGTACTGACTGGTTAATAGCTAAGTAGTTAATTTCCTAATTATTCCTAGTGGGCTAACCTAGATATGAATTAATGTTGTTGATAAGATAAGTTATAGTCAAAGTGCAGATCCATGCAAATAATTAAATATTAATAATTTTTGTATTCTGTTTGTATGGATAAAATGTATGTGATCGAGCATCGAAGATCGAGCGTCTAAGAAATAAGAGAGAACAAGATCTTTATTCCGGGATTCATGGATTTTGTGATGGACCAATGGGCTGATCTAGTTGATTTTCGAAAGGACTGATATGAGATAGACACATATTTGGTCGATGTATACATTAGCCAAGACTTTAGTATACCGCACAATGCAGAATAGCTCTCTGAGTCGTTCTAAGCCTGTCTGGCCGTCTGGCCATTTTGCATTCTTGTGTTCAACTTACGAACCGTAATTTGTGAGACACCTTGATGAAATTCGGTACACTGACATACTTCGGCCCAAGGACGAACGCCATTGAAAATGGTGCGAATCGGACTACTTCCCATTAAAACGCCTTCCGTCATGTGAATAACTGTGGGATGGTTTAAAATATTAAACGTTGAACTCTGTGTTGGAGATGGCGGTAATATATTTCTACAAAAGCGCATCAATTTGATCCTCTCCTTTGTGAAATTACCACTGTCGTGAAAATGAAGTTATGAGGGTGAATTATCGAGACGAACTCGCTCACAATAGAAAAAAATTGATTTGGAAGACAATTGACATCGAAAACCGTAAAGGATGATCATGTAAAAATGTCGTAATACTTACTGTTGCATATCCACATTTTGTTTTCGCACTGTGTTCTATAGTTCTTAACATATCTTCTCCGATTTCAAGCATAAAGTCATTTTTCGTAGCCCTATATAGGTACATAGCCGACTCTACTAGCTCTGGCCGCAGAGGATAACTTTCCCGGCTAACGGATGCCTCACCGGTAGGTATATTATAAAATTCTGGCAGAAATCCATATTTTCGCCAAACGCTTGCATACTTGGAAATGGTTTTAATAGCGGGACCTATGTCGCCTATTAAACTTAAAAGGCCCGGCCAGAATGATTCCAAGGATTGAAATACTGGCAAGGTAATCTGACCTTTAGTCATACTGGCCCATACGTACCAATCGCCGTGTCTCAGATATTTATCTATAGCAGAATGTGCCTCATGAAACATTTCCAGTAACTCAGGACGTTGCAAAAGTATAGCGCCCTTAACTAGATATTCGAAAAATGAATCGACCCCAGCTCCAATGCCAGAATCTACAGCTGTCCAACGACCCGTTTGCACGTCGATGTGATTTCCAAAAAGGCCTACAGATGAACGGCGTTTCCATAAAGAATATAGCGCATTAAGGGCCACTTCCTCGTAAATTGGGTTCCCCGTTAGGCGCGTAAGCGTACCAAATTCAACCAGCAAAGTTCCAACGCCTGCAGTGCAAGTTATTGAGGTTTCATCCTTTGGCACACCATACATTAAATTTACTGTACCGTAAGGCATCCCTGTCGCTGTATCAAAAGCAGGTAGTAAACGCTTTGCAACATTTTCCGCCATTCTTAATAGGGGACCCTACAATTTTATATATATAATTGTATATAATTATTGCTAAAGTCGCAAAAACTTCATTTTAATACATTATATACCTGGCAAGGCCATCCTGATTCAAGTGTCACGCCCGCCCTTTTTGATAAAAGATGCGCTGACAATAAACCTCCTACAATACGTATATTTGTCTCGAACACGGACACGTTTATATCCTTATCGAAATTCATTTTATTCTCAAGTAAGTTCACCACTCTCCTAAATTCCGTATGGTTACCCATAATAGCTAAAGTGTCGAGAGCATCGATAAGTGTCAATGAATAACTGCCCCAAGTATCTACACCATCGCATGTTAACGGTCTTAATTCATCATAATCTGAAGCGTAACGCAAATATCCATCGTAAGCATGTTGAAACATACGTCGTGCCTCTTCTCTATATAAAATCCGGAGCGAAAATTACTTAATAAATTTATTAAATACGAATTTTTTAAACTGAAATGTACCTTAATTCAAGTTTTCTTTCTTTGCTATAATGTTTTAAAGCACAAGTCGGCGACCAAACGCACGTTAACAGGCTTAGAGTTAAACAAATTATGATGACGTAATAGGAAGAAAAGGAAAATATTATTCGCATGGTGGACAATGAGACGTTCACTTTAATTTATCAACTTATATTCATTAAATTTATAACAAAAATTTGATCATCTGATTAATCGTAGACGTCGGCAAAACAAACGTCAACAGTAAAATATAAACACCTAACTAACTATAAGCGGCGAGAATTGACATTTTTCTAAAAACATAACAAATACATAAACAAGAACATATGTTCATGTGTTTTTACATGGATTTTTCCGAGAGACTCTTAACGTTTTTTAAAGTGACACTTCGCTACTTTGCCCAGAGAATGCTGCCACTTAGTTGCTTATTCCGTTTATTGCATTTTTTTTTTTTTTTTTTGTTTAGCCAGAAAATAAATTTTAAGACTAATGTCTTAAAGCACTAGCATTCTAAGGCTTTCGGTTTTATTAAAAACTCTACCGCACTTGAGATTTGAACCCACGACCATTGAGAGTTGCTAGTCGAGACTCTTGCCTACTCGGCCACTCAGGCGGATAAGTTGTTAATTATATATACATATATTTATGTAAATATATAAATAAGGTAAACATTGTAAATTTAGAAATTAAAGGGCTGAACATAATGTATCTTTATCTATATTTTCGGGATGGTACTTCAACTTTGCCGACTTTTTACGAGCCTATGGGAACTGCCAAATGATATGGTCACCTGATTAGCTATCTTTCATTAACTTTCATTTGCTTCAACGCCGAACCAAAGATAATCTCGTTTCGTTGCATTATGCATCAGTATCTTTTTTGCTATTATTTATTTTGAATCAATAAGGGGCAAGTAGTGGGCAAACTTTACGTTTGTTTGTTTGTGAACAACGACTATATCATACAGAAATAAATAAACAACAAAATTATAAGATAAGATAAATGATCTATGTGCTCGTGGAAATGAAAATAAAAACTGCTTCATTTACCTTAAAAGTCATACATCGGTCGGTCAATCTCATGCCCTCCTTGCGCACCCCCATATATCAAACTATACCACCCCTTTCTTACTTCATGATTTCGCACATGTGTTGAATTCTAAGACACTGCAGCTAGGTGCGACACAATTAAATATGATATGGTAAGGGCTCTTACAAAAGAAGGGAAAATCGTCTTGCTCTGCTCAAAATCGTCAATCAATGTTGGCCTTCCCATGCTTTTCCAGATGAATGGAAGCATATCAAAATAGTTCCGATCTCACTGCTACCTGTCGTCCTATTAAAGATTACAAATTTCAGGATTAAAGAAAAGCTTAGCTCCTTCACTAACGCCCACGATATTATTCGCCCTCGCTCTGATTGAAATACTGATTTTAATGAAGATGATAGTTAATTTCGATCGTTATTTATTATAGTTATTGTTATCGTTGGCATTTTTTTTTTTTTTAGTTAATATTAAATAAACGTATTTTTATTTAATTTTGAATTAAATATTTTTCTTTTTTTTAACGAAGCGTGTATTTGCGTAGTGCATTTGAAAATAGCAGAAGGTGATAGGAATTGGCGTCGTCAACGAGTAATAATGGCTAGCTGTGTGAAAAGTAGGTCCGAAGAGTGGCCGTTATATTTCAAATATTGAAGCTGTGCTCATTGAAAAAAAATCCCTGTTCTCGCTGTTTGTGGAACGCTTTTACACCGGGAAAAATTAAAAGCCGGTCACCGGTATTCATTGTTTTGGACAATGCTATTTCTTCAGCAATGACGTTTACATCGATACCCATGTGCTTCCGTGCACAGAGAAAATTGAAATGAAGGCTAAGGATTTCACAATGACAATGACAACAGCAAAGATCTAATTTCTAATAGTATATAGTGATGAGTTCAACTGCGCGGAACGCTTGTAGAGCTAATAAAACCTACACACTATCTGACAAAATCAGGAAATTTTTTTTTATTTAATGCTCCCGCATTCGGGGATAACAACAACCACCTCGAATACTCCCCGAAAAACGGCACCAAAACGGTCAGGCATTGAATCATGTGAGAGAGTATAACTACTCGCCATAGGTCGGAAGCTGCAATATTATTTTATTGCAAAAGTTTTTCTATCTCTTACGTTCCTCCGATCTGAGCGTGTAGGTAGGTATATCCCAGGATTTTCAAATTTACTCTAGATGAACATAACTCGCGTCTGTTAACTAAATTACGCACGGTGTTCCACCACGGGTTAAGGGAATGCGATGTTTTCGAGTGAAGGTAGCAGAGAAAGTGTTCGAGAATTTTTTGAAAAAAGAGCCAGAATTCACAAAATGTAACAATAATCATCGGTTTGTTTTCGTTTAGTGGAAGTGGTCCGAGTTAGGCCTGTTGTATTTTCCCCCTAACAGAATCAATTTTCAAAGAAACTTTTCATCTTTTTAAGATTTATGTAAAAGAAACAAAATCATATGATTTCACTGCAATGATGCAGTGCAAGCCACATACTCTAGTTGTAGAGCATATTACTTCACTGTATATGCATGCGTTGTGTTTAGCTCGTTAGTGAACTTTTATAGTTGCATTTATCAAAATTTACTACATTGTAGATAGAAGATAGAAGATAATGACAATTGAACTAAACGCATATGATATTTATATCGCATGCGACAAATATTAAGTTCTAATTAATAATGGATTTTAACAAAATCTACCCTAAGCCAAATATACGATGTTATATGTATTCAAAATTGACTCTGAGTCTTTTTATAGTTAGGGATACAAAATATGAAATGTGGACTTTTCGATAAAAGCTTGAACACAGCAGTAATTCCTTAGAAAAAATTTAAATAATATAAAATCAACGCCTTCTTAAGCTTCCGTTTAGAAATATGAAGGTGAAAGTTTGATTAGGTTCACTTTAAATATATTTTATTTCGCTTATTTCTTGGACAAACCGTGCTGAGAAACTATTTTTTCTTGAACTCTAGCCTCTGGAAGACTTTCAAGAAACATTTTAAAACCAAATTGATAATTATGTTGATGTTTTAATTGTCAAGTGGTCAGATGCATCCACATAAATACCTAAAGCTATTCAGATTCAGATTTAAAGTTTGGATCTTGGACCCATATTTCTGGACAATATATATATATATATATATATATATACAATATATATATATATATATATATATATATATATTATACATTTGATAAACTTAATATAAAATATTTCAAAAATTTTGTCAAAACCAAATTTTTCTCACGTATGTACATGCATGTGCATGCAAAAATTCGCATAAACTATGAAAACCAAAATATATCTAAATAATTAAAATACATTGTAACGCATATATGTACGTATGTGCATATATGTAGACAAAGAAAATTTCCCACAAACGAGGATCAATACATTTACGACCTTTGTTGTGGTCAATGTCAGCATTAATTTTTTTTTTATTTTTTTTTTGAATTTCAAATCTCTGCTCGGATGATATAAATTGTCTTTCTAATCTCCCATTACATGTGAGATTACAGAAAAAAATAATATTCATAAATTTCAGTACGTAAACTTAAAGTATGCATGCGATTTCATTTAGAGATGAACTTAAAACGTTTCCATTGTTCTTTAAAGAGAAAAAAATAACAAAAAAAAAAAAAAAAATTCAATTTATGTTTATTGCACAAATATTGATGCCGGTACATTGTTAAATGACTACTATATATGTCACCGTGCATATATAAGAAATTACATAACATTTAATTGGCAATAAACATAAATTTCAAATAAGCCATTGAAAGCAAAAATATGTTCAAATTGTAAAGAAATCATAAGACATCGAAGCATGTATACATTATCAGAAATCGTCTACATCAGCTATTATGTAACAGAGTTAAACGTATCAGGTATTATATATATATATATATATATATGGAAAGGTATGGTTTCAAAGATTGCACTTTTCATTTATGCGTTCAGAAATCGTTTAAAATTTCAAGGCCTTCAGCAATATCGCGACATTGTATTGCGATATTTTCCTTTTTAGTAAACATGGTGGAGTACTTTTCCAATAATCTATAGACTACAATAGAAATGTTCCTATAGTGATATTGAATACACCTCTTGTGTGCGTCCTCTTAAGCAATTTCGAGTGATAACTTTTTATTAGACCAAATTTATTCACCTTAGAAACGTTCTGAAGTAAACTGCCGCTAAACTCCGTTTCAATAAAATAAGTCAATTATTATTCAATCAATTCCAAATTGATATAAGTTCCTTTATTTCATTAGGATCCTCGACGAAGTAAGAGAAGAAAAAAAACTCCGTAAAGGCAAGTTCACACTTCCTCAAGCTTATTGCAATGAATGCAGAAATGTACTGAAATATTGATTTGCCGATATGCGATAATAGGCATTTACACGAAATAAGAGACAGCGCCGATCATTCATCGGTTCAAAGAAAGTCATTTTTCAATCACAATATCAAGATTGGAAGCACAGCTTCACCTATATAATGTCGTCAATGCAACGATCTTGTTACCGCAAGATCAATTTAATTTCAACTCATTTTGGATTTCCTTGTTGGAGATAAAGTGTGCGCACACGAATACATCAAAAGGGAGATTTTTATATGCATATAACATTTAAGGATGAAATACGAATATTTTTCGAATTGAACATATTCATTGTGTAATGCGTATAATGGCATGAAGGTCGCAACTAGTCAAAAATTTCAAACAAGAAATTTTACGTAACCGACACAGTCGATATTTTTTAGCAGCTGTAATGTGTAAGTGCGTTTTGAAAAATTAAAAGCATCAAATAAATGAACAAATAAAAAAATTTGTATACGGCTGAGACCGAACTTTTTACACCTGCCATCGTTGTCGTAAGAAAGTGTACAAAAAAAAAAAACGAAAAAACTAAAATATTATATTCTGTATTATTGGATTGGTGTGGCTACGTATTTCTATTTTCATACGCATCATCGAAGGATGAGGGATATATTCATTTTATCAAAACGTTTGCACCGCCCAGAAGGAAGCATCAGAAACCCCTCATAGCATATATATATATATATATTCTTGGTCAGCTTCAAATTCTAAATCGATTTAACCAGGTCCGTCCCTCCGTCTGTATAATGTCTGTTGCAAACCTTCTCCTGGCCGCAAAAATGAAGCTATCGATTTCAAATTTGCCAGAGA